GGCCTCCGAGGACCTCAGCCAGGGTCCCCGACGCAGCTTTCCCGCTCTGACGACCCGCGGCCCTAGTCCGCCGCCTGCTCACCGGCTCAGGTCTCCCGGCTGGAGAAGGCGGATGAGACTCCAGAGCTCCCGCAGAGGCCGCCTGTGCCTGCCGGGCTCCACGCTCCAGCCCCTGGAGAGGAGGTGCCCACGGAGATCCCAGCCCTGGAGGCTGAGGCCCGAGCTGGCCACTTAGCGATCCCGTCAGGAGCGGAAGGCGGGCGCCCGTGGGGTCAGGGGATAGGGTGGATTTGTGTTTAAGAAAGAACAGCTTTTCTACATTTCATTACAGCGTTTAGAAAAGGACAGTCTTGTGGGCAGGAGACCGGTTTGCACTGAGATGCACCGGGGAGTTAGCTATTATCTCTAGGTCTCTGCCTTCTTCTCCGCAAAATGGGGTAAAGACACCCACTTTTATAAGTCGTGGTGAGGATATAAATATACTGGCAGCAGTAGGGATTGAAACTTGAACCCAAGGCCTTTGCGCTGAGCTACACCCCAAGCCTCTTTTCATTTATTTTGAGCCAGGGTCTTCCTAATTTGCTAAATTGCCCAGGCAGGGCTGGAACTTGTGATCCTCCTGCCTCAGCCTCCCAGAGTGCTGGAATCACAGGGCTGAGCTGCCACACCCGGCTCCACAAAAGTTTTTAAAAAGGTACAAGACAGTCTGTCCTCCAGGAGAGGACAACTCCGTAGAGCCAACCCTACCAGAACCTGAGCAGACAGCTGTCTCTTCTCACCAGGAAGACCAGAGTCGATGGCAGAATCTGGGACAGGCTGTTAGGTCAACTGGCCACTGATGACAGGGTTGACCGGCGCTCCAGGAACCTGGTGATTTGGGTGGAGAGGGGTTCGAGTGGCATAGGAAGTGTCTTGCCTTCCTTCTGCCTGTTTTGAGGATCTCCCAGGCCGGCTAACCCCTAAGCCCCAAGGCTCTCCTACTTGGGCACCATCCCGTTATGACACATTTCAGGCGGCAGGTGGCGCTGAGGAGCGAATTTGAGCCCCAAGAAGAAGAAACCCGAACTTGTCACCTGAGAAGTCACACCCGCGTGGTAACTGCTTCCTTTTCAGTGCCAGAGCAGAGGGGTGTACAAGAGGTGGGACTTTCTTCCTCTTCGAGTTCCTCAGAGCTCCGGCAGGCCCG